TATTTTTTCTGGCAATTTAAGATGATTACAGTTATATTTATTTTGTAATATTATTAACGGGATGAGATTTCATTTAAAGTTATAATGATAAAAACTGTATTGATTGTTACAACTGCTCCTTAAATTGGATCTCAGCAATGTAATTAATAAAGTTCTCATTAAATCATTATTTCTGAATAGTTAATTCTATTTCTTTTTTCTAAACATGTGCATAGTTTGTAAAAAAAACAGCTATCGGTCTTATCTATTTGGTATGAAGAGTCACCCGGTCTCAACATCCAGGTCTCCTGATGTCACCCGACAACAGACTGTATTGAGGATAGATTGTACTCTGCCTTTTTGAGATAAAGATTCGTGCACTATTCTATGTGTTGGTGATTGTTGCCACATGAATGCACAATCATAGTATTACAACTAATCTGGGCGCCTTTATGAATACATGAAATAAATCTACCACAAGTGTTGTTTGTTAGCAATTTTTCATGTTTTGCCGGTTGCCCTGATGCAAAATACAAATCAGCCTTCGTAATAATTTCTTATGCTTCTGGTCACTCGGTGTTTCGATTCTGGTCAAAGCTCAAGTTTTTCTATTCTGTGACTTGCTTATAAAGTGAGTGTTCTCAATATTTCCTGATGCTCTGTTAACATTAGCACTTCACGAACACAATCGTATATCAGTGGGGAAATATGTCTGTGGTTATGTAGAACTGTTTCAATTATTAAAGAGAAAATGTGTAGCAGGCCGGATAGCTCAGTTGGTCTTCTGAAAGTCATGGGTTCGAGTCATGGTCAGGCAGTTTCAGTCAGGGTTTAGAAAGTGGTTTTTCAACTGACACATGTTTGATTCATTTTAAACAGATTGCATTATTTGAAATGGACAAAGGCAGTTATTGCCATGATACTTTTAGATCTACAAAGGGCATTTGATACAGTTGAAACACACTATACTGCACATCTGGGTGATGAAGAAGTTGTTTTTCTTTTCTTCATGAAACTTCAAGCATCTGCCATAATATAATGACATTTATTTACATGGTTTAAGTCTTATCTCTGATTAGCTTAGCTGGTTGATGTGGCTGGTACTCATTCTTACTACTGCTCTGGGGTACCTATGCTGCCCACCTGATGTTCATTTTAGGTCCTCTGTTATGTCTAATATTGTCAATTACATCATCTTACAACCCTAAGGCAATAAGCTTTTTAATACTATAATGACACAGGCACGAAGTATCAAGACCTTGGAAGAAAAAATATGGCCAGATTGATAAAAAAAAAACCGTGTTTCATCTATAACAAGTGTTAACAACCAAAATAAAAATGTAAATAATGACCCCTTTAAAAATTACTTCAAGTTGCATAGTATATTTTTTAAGGGGGGTCATTATTTACATTTTTTGTTTTGGTTTTTATAAACACAGTTTTTTTTTATCAATCTGGTCATCTGGTCATATTTTTCTTCCCTAGGGTCCGATAATCGTGCCAGTGATTATATATGCTGATGACTCAGGTTCCTTGTGTTCATAAATAAATCTGAAGAAATCTTTCTTATAGCATAAAAGTCTTATAGATTGCTTAATTGACTATAATTGTCTTTCTGCATCTTGGCAGGACAGAGTCTATTCTCTTTGGTTTAAGTTTCACTTAAACTGGCCTAGCCTTCCCAGGTCACATGTAATGGTACTGCTAAAAGTACACATCTCTTTTGTTAAGTATTTAGCGGGTGTTCAAAAATCTGGATCAAATTCTTTTTGGCGTCGCCCTTTGATGCTTTGCATATCAATTGATTTTTCTTGTTTAGATTAAAATACACCAGTTTTTTCCGTTGGTCCTATGCGGATAACGGAAAATATAATAAAAACATTTTGAATATACGCTTGTTTCATGTTAACAAAAGTTCAAATGTTATTAAATTACAAAGTACTTTTTTCATTATCATTTTTTTTGTTTACAAACTAAGATTATAATGTTTACAAACTAAGATCATCATGTTTACAAACTAAGATCATCATTACATGACATAAGACTTTGATTATTATTAGTAACCTGTAAATTTGCTGGAGATATAATGATAAGATTACCCAAACGGTGCCTTTACCGCATTTTTGTTGTTGTTGTGATCTGCAGAAAATCAATATAAAAGGCCAAGGTTTTAATGTGTATCATTACAGATTTCATTATTTTTTATGATCAAACACGCGGTTTCACTACAGATTTACCCTCCCCCACCCCAGATAACATTATATACATGTGTTACCAGAATGAAAGGGTTCTACACCTCTTATCCTATACAAAAAAAGTGAAACATTTAAATAACAATGAAATTAAACAAAGTCTCGGTCGTCTTTTATTTTTTTTTTTAACATATCATAAAATACCTTGTGGCATAGGATCGTAAAGAATCTCTGAGCTCTATCATTTATCAAGGAGTCAAAGTGCACGTTTTATGAGGATATGGAGATGTGGAGTGATTCATGCGGGAATTGTTTAATACACCTGTAAACCAAGTATTCTCTACAATTTCTTGTTCATGACCTCCGCTGAATTCATCTTAACAAATATAGTAGTTTATATAAAATGACATATGACAGACTTGTATTAAATATCTAAACTACATTGCTACAAACAGAAAGCAGTTAAATGAGATAAAACAACCAGTAACTTGTTTAAGTTACCCTTTTCCCGGTTGTTAACCTTGACTATATATCATTTAGATAGAACATTAATGAGTTTTACCTTAGTTTATAAAACTATGTAACATGATATAAGTTCAAAATGTATGTTGACTCTCTTCAACCTTGACCGTCTTTACATCTTTATTAATTTCGTCCATTGTAGATTTAAAAGATTTAAAAATCAACATAGATAAAATAAACACAATTTAACTCCTTCAATGACGGGGAAATGTTATAAAAAGAAATTTGTAAACCTTACTTATTAATCTTAATTTATATTACGTTATGAATTTTGATTATTGGGTCTGATATAGTTGCTTTTTGAAGCAAAGTATGTTTCATAAATTACCATCTCCGGTGAGTAATGTGTTTCACCCTACGCATGTATATCCACGGGGGAGGAACTGTCACACGGAGGATAACCGGAACAAACAAAACAAAACAAAATGTTTTGCAAAAGATGAGCATACTACGTTTCATGATAATTTACACCTCTTATCGAATAATACAAAACGCTAAAACGTGCTGTACCCTAGCGCAAGAAACACAATGGCAGTAAACAAAAGTTATCAGAAGAACTCTATCACATCTTCACAGTTATCAGAAGAACTCTAGAACATTTGAAAAATCAGGCATAAATCTTCAATATTATAGGTAATTAAGTATGGCGAGGAAGAAAAATCACATATGAACATGTAAATATGTACGAATGAGCAAATAATTGGGAAATGGACAGTTTTCAGAAGAACTCATGACAAGCTACCAGAAGAACTCCGTTGTAACAGTTCCTCCCCCGTGATAACGTTAACGTTTACAAAAAAATGAAATTGTATATAATGCACGCTATGACTCGTAGTGATACAGTATTGTTTTAGATTTAAACTAGATACAAAAAAGTTTTGCATATTTGTAGACGTGACTTAAAATATACAAGATAAAATAGTACATGTATAGAATTTATTTCTCATCATAGTGGGACAGATGTTATGAAATATTGAAGTATATATACTGTGCTCCTCTTAGTTCACGGTATTTAACACTTTAAAACAGTAAAGAACACAAACAATAAACTTACACTACAAAAACTGTCATAAACTGTATTATTTAGTCATTTTTCTGCTATATGACACAAGGAAACAACAATATATTCAATCAAAATTAGTTTTAATTTGTCAGATGTAAACAGTGTGTCGGCCATTTTTGAAAACAGTTTGTCATCATTTACCTCGCGGTAATGGTGTTTTATTTCAGTTTTTTTCATGTTTCAGTTAAAATTTCTTTAAGTTATTTTGCATAATTTTAAATATTAAAAGTATTTTCACATTGTAACTCAAAATTTATTTTTTTCAACAAACAAGAACGTTTAGAAAATTATGATTGTTTCAGACGTATGCACAATTTTAATGGACTATTGTTGTTTTTTGCAGAAAGTTGTAAAATGTTGTTCAGTTTTACGTAAAATTCTATAGATTTAAATTATTTTGCACAAAACCTTTGTTGTTAAGGTGTTTGAATAAAATATGTCAATTCTGACCAATTATAACACTGGTCACATGAAAATATGCCATTACCGTGAGATAAATGATGACGCGGAATTAGTTATGTTGAGTATAAACAGTAAGTTTATTTTCGTCTTATTTTGTTAGATTACTTTACGTGTTACCTGATATAAAAGCTAGTTAATTATGAATATCGTCTCACAAGAAGAGTTTAAAATTACAGATTGTTGCCCGCACTGTAACTGTGTCGTGCATTGTAGGATTTTAAAAATAAATGTCTACCACATCAATAGGACGTGTCATATCTCTACCTAAAAAGTCAAGGTCACACTTAGAGGTTGCAGGTACAAATTCATGTCCGGACTGTAATTTTGTCATGCATTGAAGGATATTATAAAATTGCTTGGCAACAACATTGTGTGTCGCGTGGAACCGTGTCTCTACCTCAAAAGTCGAGGTGAAAATTATTGAATCCTCTATATATGCATGCACACATTTGTGTCTAGACTGTAACTTTCTTTCGCATTGAACAACTTTAAAATAGCTTGTTGGCATTCGATCACAGATGCCCTTTGAAATAAACGGGCTCACTGAGAAATGATCAAAATGTTGTTTTTTTATTCTTGTAAGAAAATTCTTTTTATCGTAATCATGTCTTTGATGCAAGTCAATATCATGGTTCCTCCACTGGGCACTGCTCGGGGATGGGGGGGGGGGGCGTTTGTCTGTTTCTAACGAAACCACAGTTCTTGTTGTTCCTATATTGAGACATTTGGTGGCAATAGTAACGAACATACTTTAAATAATGCATTTCTTATATTGAAATAAGCTTTCTGACGTTGCCATAAACCTGTCGATAGTTTCACCTTAACGTAATGTCTAAACAGAAACCGAGAGTGTGCATTATTGGAGCCGGTCCTAGCGGCATGTCAGTGATGTACCAGATAAAACAACTATACCCTGACAAGATTGACTTTGAATGTTACGAAAAGCAGGCAACATGGTGTGGACAATGGAACTATACCTGGAGGACAGGTAAACATTCGATTTGTAAAATTAATATTATATATTAAAGCGTTAAGTTTACCCGAATTTTTCGCGATACAGAGACTATCCTGTCAATAATAAAATCATTATAATTTATGATTGCTTTGATAATTTACAATTTGTCTGAAAACATTCAAATTAATAAACATGTTTAAGATGTTTGCCTCCAGATGAGTAAAATCAAACCTGAGAAAATGTACTAACATTTTAGGAAAGGTAAACAGATTGAAGATTTAAATAATAATTTACATGCTATGTGCGAGTAATGTTTTTTTTTTATTTTAGTATTTATCACCATATTTCAACTGCGTTAGTAACGCAGTTAAGGCTATCTTTTAATATTTTGACCATAGTTTGGTATTTTCATGGGTTGTGAGTGCTATTTGTAATGTGTTAATTGCTTCCTTTTGATTTCTTCACAATATTTCACTTTTAAATACATTTTCAAAATTTCCATAAAATTGTGCATGAATCTGGAGACATGCTGCTTTAAACTGATGATATTAAACTGTTGTCGTCATTCTAATACTCGTGAAACTTCTGTACTTCCAGTCACTCTTCTTGTATACAAAGAGCTGATAAATACAGACTGATATTAACAGAGATTCATACATAGTAGTTATATAATAAATTAAATGATTATACGTGCTTGCACATGTAACAGACCGTTCAAAGTAAAAAGAGATTAGTAAAGTATAAATATAAGCAAGGGTAGAGCTAGCAGGTCACTAGGCACCGATTTCATGACCTGACTCGATCAGATCGAGTATATAATTCTTTTCTATTTTTTATTCGTAAGGAGCGTCCGTGATCGAGTGGTTAATGTCTACAACATTAAACCACTCACCACTAACCGCAGTGTGTTGTAACCCCGCCAGGGACTTTGCATATTTTCATGTGAGGATATGTCTAGCTTGCTTAAAGAAAAGTCAGCGGTTTAACTCAGGAATATGTTCGTGCCTGAAATGATGCACAGAGGGGTCATCCTTCACTACTAAAGCAGAAAAGTCGGCAAATGACCTCTATTGAGTTTAACCATGAAGGTTCCCACAACCACGCCGCCCATTCCCACCCAAACAAAAAATGTATTGCTCCTGTTTAAAAAAAATATGTTCATTTATCATATAAGCTGATCCATGTAGCCTTGTTTTTAGGAAATTTTCACTGTTTTAAAAGTGTCATATTTTTCCTCTAATTACATCTCTAAATAAATTCTATAAACAAAGTCTGCTATGAGAGAGTTTCAAGCTAATAACATACAAAATGATATAGCTGACTAATCATGACCCCTTCGAGGATGTTGGATTATATTGCTTTTCACAGAACCTGTAGGCCGGTCGGTCCGTTGACATTGGCCTACAAGATTGCCCTCAAATAGTGACAGGTGAACAGTCACATTGATTTTGGGGTCAATTGGTTAAAGTTTCATGTTCACCATGAACGTAACAACAACAAGTATGTCCGCACCATGGCTTTGTATTGATATCCAGAGGGGTGTCCGTGTATGAAGCTTTGACCTATAGCTACAGTCGTTAGAGTTTTTCTGAAAGTTGCCCATGACAAAATCATTACCCGTTTTGATTTGAGGTTTTTGGGATAGTTGGGATAGTTGGTCAAAGTTCATGTTCATGGTGACTAAACAATCTCTTTTGTAAAAAATGGTTTGATTATATAGTTCTGAAGATCTTTGCATATTACAATGTATGTAAAATTATTACATAAGGTATTGATATGAAAACGGACAAAGTCACAGTGACCCTGATATAGAACGTCAAGCCGAAAAAAAACAATGACAGCTATGAATATAACCTTAGAGGCGAAGAAATGTCTAATATTCCCCTAAATAGAAAGCGATATTATTTTACGTTACAGATTCTGACGAATATGGTGAAAGTATACATAATTGTATGTACCGAAATTTGTGGGCGATAGGAGCAAAGGAAAGTATGGAATTCAAGGATTATACATTTCAGGATCATTTTGGTAAAGAATTACCTTCTTTTTTACCAAGAGAATTGCACAGACGTTATCTTGACGGTAAGGATATAATTATCGCAATTATCAATGTATTGACTTTACTCGGGAGTCATCCATATTGTGGAAAAAAAATAAATGTTTCCTTGTTAAAATTGTATTCCTTTGTATGATAAATGAGTTACAGTTGCATGAGAAAATTGCTTGAAAGCAAGTCAATGTTAAAGGATGTCGACTTATGTCTTAGATGAAAGAAATAAGTAAGATGAAATGTTTCTTTTTTGTCACCGTGAAGTGTTTTTATTTTCGTGAACACAATAGTAATACTTCCATATTTGCATTTTAGTTAAGACTGGTTATTTGGTTGAAATTGCAGGTCGCATGAAAAGGATCAGCACAGGCGATTTCTTCGAACACATTCATTTCCAACACGAAGTAAGAAGTGTTGAATACAGAGATTTGACTGACGATTTCCTTGTTTGGGCGAGGAATTTCCGGAGCAACTCCCTGGTTGAGGAAGTATTTTCCCATGTTATTGTTTCTACGGGATGCTTTTCTTACCCAAACATGCCAACTTACCCGGGAATTGATACATTCCGTGGAAGAATACTTCACTCTCACGAGTTCAGGGAGGCTAAGGAGTTTACTAATCAGAATGTGCTTATCATAGGGGGCAGATTCTCTGCAAGCGAGATTGCTCTCCAACTGAATAAATACGGCTCAAAACATGTCATCTGCAGTTGTAAAGAACCCATGAATTTGAAGTGGCCTAAAGGTGTTGAAGAACGACCAATCGTCGACGAAATCAAAGGCAATAGAGCTGTGTTCAAAGATAAAACACAGTTTGATTTTGATGCAATCATCTATTGTACGGGATATAGATACAATTATCCATTCTTGAAGGGTGGTCTTCATTTTGATGTTGGAGGGACAACAACACTTCTCCCAGACAACCTTTACAAAGGTACAGTATGGCTTAAAGGCGGCAATAAGAACCTATTCCATATGGCAGCCTTTGACGTATTTTTGGGGTTTGGTATTATCGATGCGCAAGCTACGTGGATATTAAAATTCATCATTAAAGAATTATCTGGACAACCAGTTCAGTGGGAGGAAATGGAAGGTTATGTTAAAGAATGGCAGAAAAAGCAAACGAATGTTAAAAGTGTACCTGATATGTTCAAATTTCAGAGAGACTTTTACCACGACATTGGCAAAGATATAGACTTACCACCAGAATATATCGATAAGGCATATGATATCCTGATAGACATTTCAGAACAAAAGCAAATCAACGCCATGGGATATAAAGATGTGTGCTATAAATCTATGTACACAGGGAAACTTGCACCATCCCATCATACAAGCTGGGTAGACTGCATGGATGATTCTGTTGATGCATATATCTAGCAAAACCCTGCAGAATTGATTTACTGAACGTCAAGGAAACAATATTATGTTTTCTATATTTTATTACCATTGAAATTTGAAAGACTGACTTAGTTCAAATTTATCTTTTTCCAAAATATAAATACACTTTTGTTATTTATCATACTTCGGTTAAAAAGTGTTTAGACTACTTGAAAACATTAACTTTAAGATACTTAGTTCATCGTTGTGGTGGACGAGTGCTTTGTGCAAATCATATTTTGATAACGTGAAAAAGCAAGAACAAAAGGACTCAAAAATATATCAGATAAATGAAAGAAGAAAAGATAAAGACAAAAATTTGATTTCATTAACAATTACAAGAATATCATCAGTCACGAGTCACTTACAGATTAATGTATTGGATCATTTAGATTAGTAGATATGAATAACATTAATGTATTTCGTATAAAAACGCTAATAAAATTCAGTTATCTTAATGGTTTGATATATCTTGTAACAGGTATTTTCTTTTAATCCCCACGCTCTCGTTTTCTATATCGTCCGCCCTTGTCCATTTAATTCCCGTATCTGGGTGCATGCTGTTGTTGCTATGTTATGTCAGACTTATGTTCTATGACATATGCAATTTTTAATTACAAACTGAATGCCGGGAATCTCATTGGACAATCTAAACTAAAATGTTAAGGATTGTTCTTGCCATTCTGAATTAGAATCTAAAATAAAATGTAAAAAAATAGTTCTTGTCATTATATAATAAAATGTAAGGAATAGTACTAAAATAAAATACACAGGATAGTTCTTAAACTCTAAGATATTTGAGTTCTGTCAATTAACCCCCCCCCCCCTCTCCACACACAAAACATTTTACACTGCGTTTAAATCTCATTACATTTTCTAGTGAACATTTTATTTACATAAAATATCCATTATCATTGCAAAATCTTACAATTTATTCAGTCAATTGTAACAAAATTATCTTTAAATAAGAAAGGTTACTTTCGATTTATTTTCATATTTTCTGTTTGTTTGTTTTTTGTCACCATTTCCCTCTGTATGTGATACAAATCCATGGATTTATTATACAAATAAAACGTTCTCATTTATATCTTCCTTTTCAAAAAAATACTTGGACAGTGACATAGACAGTCCTATAAGAATATAAAATGTATGAACCACGTGTTATTGAATTGCTAGATTTTGAGAACAATATGATAACAAGAGATTAACTTGGATCTGGAAGACATATTATCATCTTGATTATACTAAATTCAATTATTAAGAAAAATTACGATTGTGAAATGAACGAGGATAAAACGAAAGCTCTACTTCATTGGGACCGTTTAAAGTATCGACATCCAACTACATTTGAATTGTATTAAGTATTAGCAACTACAACAGATGTCACACAGATATACTGCAAAAATCATTTTTACGTAAATGTTCTGTTGAAACAACATTTTGCAGTACAAACAACTATAGATATATATGTGCAAAGTCATTGCTACTGCAATTTAATATTTCGCTTTTGGCCCAACATTTATCTTATGGAAGCCGGTATGTTGTGTATGGGACAACGTTATTAGCGCAATACACATGGTTCTTGCATAACACTAGCGCAAGCAGGTATACATTTACATAACATAACGATCAAGCTTTGTTGTTTCCAATAATTATGGTAACTCGATCAGGGCGCAATGGCGGCCACGGTAGTTTAATTATCAAAATAGAATTGTCAAATGACATCGGACTATAGCACGTGGAAAGCATGACACACGCAAGGGTTTCTTTATACAAAATACAGATAACGAAACGCGTAATTACCGATTTAGATATATACTTTTATGCAAGAATAGCGACAATGCACATTTATTTCGCGCATTAAAAAATTTAAGGAAGCCTACAGGCTTGGGCCATATATGCGTCATGATGCTTCTGCAGGTGTAAATGCATGAAAATGGTACATTTACTTTGTAATAAATAATGTTATAATACATAAGACCTTACACAATAAGATTATAAGAAATGTGAAAGGAGCTAGATACATAAATGAATACTTTTTAACCTGGATCGATCCATTCCAGTGTGTTATTTTTAATGCTTTATGGTTAGAAAATCTATTCTTTCTAAAAAAGTTTAATTCTGCTGGTATCGAAATAAACTGTAAGTCGTTCTTCATTCTTTCCTTTTAAGTCGTTATCTATATAGCCTACTACACGTTTTTTATATACCATATTTAGTTGAGATCTTATCGGCGAATTGGCATTTCACATATTACTTTAACAAATTTGTTCTACTTTAAAATGGAATCAATTTGCTTCAATATTATTCTAGTAGGTATTTCTATCTTGTTTTATGCTAGTAATGCATTCATTTTGCAAAACTGTTCATGTATGTATTTGATTTGAAGTAAGCATGCTTTAAGTTTATATACTATACACGTTCAAATCGAATAATATACATGTACTGCAATTTTAAACTGTTTTGTGCTTTTATATTCTGTTTTGCAAATCTCTGTAGATATATAAGGGGTTAACCGTTTGTAATTAAAAAAAAAACGAAATTTAAAGGTTGAGTTTTTTTATATTTGATCAATCATAGTAACAAGAACAAATTATTTTACAGCTTTATTCATTGGCGAACTGCATTTCAACAGGATATTCATGTAAGTTCATTTAAGAAACTGGTTCGTTTGATAACTTTGCTTTTCACTTAACGAAACTTTGACTTGTTATACAATATCTTTACTCTATTTAGCTTCGTTCAAAACAAATAACAAGAGGAGGCCAGATACGCATAAAAACCAAAATAATGCTCCGTTATAAAAATTAACAATAATTTCAAAATATTATTGTCAAGTAAAAATCCTTTGAACCACAAAATGTAAAATAAATCGTCAAATTCGTACGATCCGTAAAGAAGTTATTCATATGACTTATTATAGTTCTGATAAGAAATATGTAGATATACAATATATACATTGTACAATGAAATATTTTTGATGGCTATCTATTGTTTTCTGAAAAATATAAGCTATTTGATAAAATATAACAATATTTTTTACCTTTAAATAATTTAGCTAAATGGCGCTAAGAATTAGCGAAAGAGTCGATTATCAAAGGATTTGAAGCATAATTTTTCTGAACAAGGTTGTAACATGCTGTATGCATGGTTACCATGCTAAATTCTTTGATAACAATATTTTATTAAGTAAATGTACAAAGCAGAATTATTCATTGAAGGGAATCACGGCCGACAATTTGTATTTGCTTTTCCTGAGTCATACGACTCTCTCTCGGACTTGTCATTTGATGTTGCTGCGAGGGAAACAAGCATAATTCACGTCGAGGCTCCAGAAGTAGGATTAAATTCTAATTATACTGTCCAGAAAGGTACGAGAACTTTTTCTCTAAATAACCGAATTGAACTGAGAGGTTCGGGAATTTGGAAAAAGGGTATACATGTAATCAGTGATAGAGATATTAGAATATATGCAACCTCCCAAAATAAACTAGCTTCCTCAGACGGCTTTCTGGTACTGCCTTACACTTCGTTATCAACAAATTACTTTGTGGCATCGTATACACCTTAACAATCGAGTGAGTTTGCCATAGCTGCTGCATACGATTCAACGTCAGTCACTATAACCTTTAGAATATCATCAGGAGTTGTGACATTTCTTGGAAGAAACTACTCAAATGGTCAAAAAACTACCATAACCCTACACAAATTGGATGTGGCACACATACAGCACGTTCACGATTTAACTGGAACGTACGTAGATAGTGATAAACCCATTTCTATTGTATCAGGAAATAAATGTGCTGATGTTCCGAAATCAGTTACAGCCTGTGATGTTTTACTAGAGTTTGTGCCGCCACTTTCAACTTGGGGTACCAAGTATATAACCGCTGCTTTTAAAACACGTCTTCACAACCGTATACGTGTAATATCAGGAAGTGACGGTAACATTGTAAAACTTGGAAATCTAAAAGTCATTACTTTAAACAGAGGTCAATTTTACGAGCAAACCTTTACACAAGACGATGCTGTACTTATTGACTGTTCAAACCCATGTCTTCTTGTGCAGTACGCAGAAGGATCTACTGCTGATGGTCAAACAGGTGATCCATCAATGACTATTGTACCTTCCCTAGACCATTTTGACAACGACTTCTATTTTAAGACACCGGATGTCGTCAACAACTATCTGTCTATTGTAATACACAGCTCTGATGTGACAGGATTACGCCTGGATGGTAGATCATTGAGTGGAGAAGAGAAGACAGTCCTGGTAACACATCATAAACAATCAGAAGTAATATAAGTTTATTATAATTATGTATAGATATACTATGTTTCCTTTGAGATCACAGAAATAAAATCCATGAAATTATTACTGTCTAGTTTGAATAAAGGAATGAATAAACTAGGTATAGGAAGCTGTTTTTCTTATTACAGGTCAAGTTAAGTAAGCATTTTCTTTAAATAAAAACTGACAGTTATTTTAATGACACTATATTTGATATTGTGTATAGAATTTTAAACATAACATATCTTCTTTGTTTTAAGTCAAAACATTTATTTAAAAAACTGTGTAGTAATTATCATCAAACTTGAGCATATATCTTTATTCCATTATCCACCATTTTGTATAAAGCAGCCCCTTAAGACTGGAGGTTTGTCTTTATTGATGAGGAAAATGAATTGCAGCAACAGTTTATCCCTGGGTGATCGTAAGAGGTGACTAAACGGGTTCGAATGACTGAAGTCTATGCATGTTAAAGGTCCAGCAGGTGAGGTGGTTTTGAGCCCTTGTGCTGCTTTAGGATTGTAACACCCAAAGTTAGCCAATATCATCTTCCCTGTTTCGGCGTTGTATGACTTAAATTTTGTTGGTGCGCCATTAAATGAAACAAATAAAAATTATATATGAACAATGAAAACAATCATTGACTTTTTGGGATGGGATATTGACCATATATTTTTGTACCTTAAGAAGAAAGTTTAAAAATTTTGATAACAATTATTTGGAATGTTGATGATTGTAGCGTTACAGTGAAGTTCGAGTTCACATATCACAGTCTTCACATCACCTTTACCACATATCAGATGTTTCATTCGGTGCTATTCTGTATGGATTTGCCAATTATGAGTCATATGCGTATCCTCTTGGAATAAGCTTTATAGGTAAGACAATCTTATGCTCACGTTAATTGCAAAAGCATGTTAGTGAGAAAAAGAGACTACGCTACCGTTTAAATGACTTTGTGTTGGTCGTCGGTAATAGAAAACCTTAACTGACAACTTCAACTTTATGATTTTAAAATTCTGCCTGAGGCCATATCGTATAAGTATTAGTTTCTTAGGTCCAAAGTTATTACAGCGGCATTTATTGCACGTACAAATATATACTGGCAAAACAAGGGAAGGGACGTAACGCCGCTTCAGGTTGTGTGCCGTCTTTCTCGTTATTTTATAGTGTTTACTCCGTAATGCCCCGGTCACATATTCACGGATAATGGCACGGAAGAGCTACAGTCAAATCGTTCACGGATTACTACGGAAATGTGAAATTCCGTAGTCCGCTACGGTTCCAGTACGGACACAGAACGGTATGAGTACGGAGTCCGACGGATTTCCCCCCATAAGTCCCCGGAGAGACACGGATTGTTACGGACCGACACGGTTTGAAACGGAGCGACACGAATCAGGACGGACGCACTACGGATACACTACGGTCTGCTACGGTATAAGCACGGGTTAGTACGAATAAGTACGGTCTGATACGGAGAAGAACGAATTGATACGGAGAAGAACGAATTGCCACGGATCTATACGGACCTAATACATTCGTCCACAACCTCTTGCATGCTCATTTTCAAAATGCCACACAAGAAAATAACACCTAGAAAACAAATTGCAGAGTTCAATGATTTTGGCGGTCTGATTAAAATGAATTTATTCAAGGACCCAGGATCCTCAACAAGGTCGGCCATGAGAGCTTCGTTTTATGTACAATTTACTCCAATTTCAAGATCCAATGTTTGTAAAATATGTAACATTAAATGTAATTCTATTACTTATGAATTGTAGTACGATATTAATATATTTTTACCTCTATGCATGTCATCAAGCATCATTCTGATCCATTTTAATATAAAGTTGCAGCCAGTAAATGGCAATTATCATTTAATGAATGTTCCCGCAAAAATGTCTGTTTTTAACAAGAAGGTAGTATTTATACCCTTGAAAAAGTACATCCGTACTAAACAGTGGTGGACCGTACCATTCCGTACCGTTTCGTGTTGCAACGCAATAAACCGTGTAATCCCTGTCTCTCCGTAGTACAACGTATTAGGATCGTGGCTTTCCGTGACAATGCCGTATTAATCCGTATTAAAACCGTAGCTTATACGTAGGGTAACCGTACAAATACGTAGTTCTACGTACCAAACCGTGGAAATCCTTGACAAGTTGGTGGACTACGAATCAGTACGGACAAGTACGGTTTTCGTACGGACCACTACGTATCAGTACGGTTTAATACGGACTAGCAGGGATACGCTACGGTTGATTTTTCCGTGGCTCTTCCGTGGCCGTATTCCGTAAATATGTGACCGGGGTATAAGGTCGATAATTATGCTCTTAATATATAATAAAATAACGTAAACATACGCACTTTTGACATCAGAATTTAACACAACTGTTCAGCATCTCAATACAAAAATATACACAACATTAGTATAATAATATAATACTTTTTTGATGATTTCGAATAATTATGTCAATTTATTACATGCTTTTCGGTGGTTTATAGAAATATATCAGTGAAATAAAACTGGTAATTTCACTGTTTGAAACAGTGAAATTACCACTGTTTTGAATTTAAGCCCCTTACGTTGTTTCACTGAAATACCAGCGTGCACAGTACTGGGTACCAACTTAATGACGTGACGTCGTAAATGACGTCACGTAGTATTATTAATTGGCGCGCTTTTCATTAAGTATTAGGTTTAATGTCTTTTAAAACGTTTCTCTGCATATAATAAAAAGAAAATTTGTTTAGTTTAGTGTAAGATCGAAATATATTTCACCTTGTGAACACCAAAAGTTCATATTTCACTCGTGGCTGCGCCACTCGTGAACTTTTTGGTGCTCACTCGGTGAAATATATTGCGATCTTACACTGAACTAAACAAATATCCTCTATCTACAGTAGTTGTTCACTTATCAGTATGATTTTTTCAGTATTGGAGATAGCATTAAAATGGCATGCTATCAATGATTAATGCTTACTGTTTCATATTGTGTAGAGCTATCAGCAGTCAGACTATTGAATGGAAGCAGTTCTAAATCCGGGCAACTTGAAGTGTCACGTGGTGGTATTTGGACGCCGGTTTGCTCAAGCTCTGTCAATTTAGATGCAGCACGTGTTATTTGTAGAACACTTGGTTATGACAAATACAATTTACCGTAAGTCAATTTCCTATCAAAGCTCAAAAGGCTGTCTTTATATTTAATGTATCATAGCATCTATAAATTTCTTTGAATTTTTTTTATTGAAACTAGTACATAGTTTCTGTAAATTTGTCTGCAAAAATGGTATTATTGCAAATATGTGTATTGTTTTTAGGCATGATGCAGTACAATCTGTTACACTGCCACCTGGCGGTAACTACGTTCATGGTAATATAAGCTGCCTTGGAACAGAATCGTCCATCACAGAATGTTCAGTAAAACATATATACACACTGTCATGTACTAATGTTGCAGCAATTGACTGTGGTAATGTATATATAATATTCATTTAATTTTCTAAAATATGGCATTGACGTCTTTACAAACAAAATATTTGAAGAGTACATGTACAATACAATTGTAAACTATTAGCCCTCTGTTGGCAAATGACTTTCCTCATGCAATCATTCTTAAACTTACACAGGTCATCGTTAACATTATCAAATGATAAGTAAAACAGTATATTTTTACAACAAAAACAAACTGACAATGACCTAGTTTGTCCAAATGAAAATAAAAACCCGATTATTTCAAAAGGTAAATATTGATCATTTTGATTTGCAGCGCCATCTTTAAAAGAGTTAGTACATTCAAGATGTACATCAACAACATGGGATATAGCAGTTGATATGGATAAACTAACTTACCGGTATAGTACACTATCTTTACTTCTGTTCATATGGATAAACTAACTTACCGGTATACACTATTTTTACTTCTGTTTAGATGGATAAACTAACTTACCGGTATACACTATCTTTACTTCTGTTCATATGGATAAACTAACTTACCGGTATACACTATCTTTACTTCTGTTAATATGGATAAACTAATTAACTTACCGGTATACACTATCTTTACTTCTGTTAATATGGATAATCTAACTTACCGGTATACACTATCATTACTTCTGTTAATATGGATAATCTAACTTACCGGTATACACTATCTTTACTTCTGTTAATATGGATAAACTAACTTACCGGTATACACCATCTTTACTTCTGTTCATATGGATAAACTAACTTACCGGTATACACTATCTTTACTTCTGTTCATATGGATAAACTAACTTACCGGTATACACCATCTTTACTTCTGTTCATATGGATAAACTAACTTACCGGTATACACTATCTTTACTTCTGTTCATATGGATAAACTAACTTACCGGTATACACCATCTTTACTTCTGTTCATATGGATAAACTAACTTACCGGTATACACCATCTTTACTTCTGTTCATATGGATAAACTAACTTACCGGTATACACTATCTTTACTTCTGTTAATATGGATAAACTAACTTACTTGTATACACTTTCTTTACTTCTGTTAATATGGATAAACTAACTTACCTGTATACACTATCTTTACTTCTGTTCATATGGATAAACTAACTTACCGGTATACACCATCTTTACTTCTGTTTATATGGATAAACTAACTTACCGGTATACACTATTTTTACTTCTGTTCATATGGATAAACTAACTTACCGGTATACACCATCTTTACTTCTGTTCATATGGATAAACTAACTTACCGGTATACACTATTTTTACTTCTGTTCAGATGGATAATCTAACTTACCGGTATACACTATCTTTACTTCTGTTCATATGGATAAACTAACTTACCGGTATACACTATCTTTACTTCTGTTCATATCGATTATCTAACTTACCGGTATACACTATCTTTACTTCTGTTCATTTCGATAAACTAACTTACCGGTATACACCATCTTTACTTCTGTTCATATGGATAAACTACATTACCGGTATACACCATCTTTACTTCTGTTGATATGGATAAACTAACTTACCGGTATACACCATCTTTACTTCTGTTCATATGGATAAACTAACTTACCGGTATACACTATCTTTACTTCTGTTTAGATGGATAAACTAACTTACCGGTATACACTATCTTTACTTCTGTTCATATGGATAAACTAACTTACCGGTATACACCATCTTTACTTCTGTTGATATGGATAAACTAACTTACCGGTATACACCATCTTTACTTCTGTTGATATGGATAAACTAACTTACCGGTATACACCATCTTTACTTCTGTTCATATGGATAAACTAACTTACCGGTATACACTATCTTTACTTCTGTTCATATGGATAAACTAACTTACCGGTATACACTATCTTTACTTCTGTTTAGATGGATAAACTAACTTACCGGTATACACTATCTTTACTTCTGTTTAGATGGATAAACTAACTTACCGGTATACACTATCTTTACTTCTGTTTAGATGGATAAACTAACTTACCGGTATACACCATCTTTACTTCTGTTCATATGGATAAACTAACTTACCGGTATACACTATTTTTACTTCTGTTTAGATGGATAAACTAACTTACCGGTATACACTATTTTTACTTTTGTTCAGATGAACAAATTTGAGTAGTTTTTCCGTGTTTCATTTGAAGGTTCCCTGGTTCCCTGTCAGATGATATATATCTTGGTGATAACAGTTGTACCGGTGTTATGCAGGGCAGCCAGCTTATTTTCAGACATGGGCTACATGGATGTCTTTCTACTAGCACGGTAATTAAAAGCAAGGAAAATAAACAAAAACGTGACTCTTTATGTGTGTTTCCCATGTAATATGTAAAAACTGTTTTGATGAAAATTTGAGTCAGGGTTCAGCTGTATATCTAAAATAAGCGGATTTTGTATGAATATGTAAATCATTTCGATTTGTCGATTATTTGAGTTTTCATTCAATTGTTTATGAGTAAGGAGTACCTAATACATATGGCGTTACATTTTTTGTTATTAGATTTGTTCATATTAATTTGATTGGCCAATTTTTGGGGCCTCTATAGCTAAAAAGAGCAAATTCATCAATTATTTCTGGCACTGAAAAACAGTTATATCTGGTGAGCAATTCAGGGCCATCACGACCCTTTTGTTTTAATTAGTTAATTTTTAATTATGAATTTCTGAAATTCTAAGCATGTTTTGAAAACCCTTTCAAATCGTAAACTTACCCCTACGTATACTGAACAGAAATGTCAACTTATACTGTTTTACATATACTAAGTAACACTAAATAAAATCATTTTATAAATATCTATTAGATGTTAATTCTTACTAATAGGGACTTGTGTTACTATATGTGCAGATCCGGTACATCTAAGCATGCATACAGAAGTTTGTACAAACTTTTAAGGCAATGACTTCCATTTAAGTTTATAAGCAAGAATCTCTAGTTCTTTTCCCACATCCATTTCAATAACAATTACTATATATGAATGATCATGATTATAAAATGTTACCGTTCAAATAGGATAATATATTTACAGGAAACCAGAGACGAAATCATTTTTACGAACCAGCTATTGTACGCATTTCATGACCCGACGTACCACTTTATTATCAGGAATTATAATTGGACACTCGATCTCAACTGTCAGATATCACGTGACCAGTATGGCCACAGTCAAGTGACCTATAACCAATCAATAGACTCAAGTCAAACGTTGAATTTTACTAACCAGTACAAAATTGATACACAGTTCTTTCTAGACCCAAACTTCAAACAGGTAAAGTTGAATATCTGTCAGATAGATTTCTAGTCACGTGTATTAAAAAAAGTTGATAGTTTGTGTAAGTAGTCGCACGTGAATCGAATCATTACTTAACAGTAAATCTTATACGTAAGTGTATTCATATACAAAATTTGCTGTGAGTCTTTTTAAAATATGTCCAGTAAAACAATTAAAACAATATAACGGACAGTTTATTCATAAGACCCTCTATAGCTTTCACAACTTTATATTAATGTTACATAATCATATTAACATTGACCCATAAAGTGGATAGGTCTGTAAAGTAAGTATTTCAAATAATGAAAGAAAACACACACAAAAAAACAATAGGATTTTATCATTTGAATAGATTCTCTTATGTCATATCTGAAAAAAATGTTGAAAAATTTCTAAAATGGTTTATTATGAACATACCTGTATATTTGATGAATAATAATATTTTGTTCTAGAACAGTTTTATGTCATATCTGATCATGTATCTTAAACTTATCAACAACATTCATATCTCATTCTTTAGTTGTTTGTTTCGCGTGTTTATGATACATGATACTATCAACATATTAATTATTAATGGTTAAAGAGATTCTCTATTATAGAATGAGTAAAGTCTTTTCAAAGTTAAAGTGATTTTAATGCTAAAGAACAATAATAGACGTCCAACAATATAGAGATTGGCAAAGTCCATGAAGTCAGACCTCGACGATGTTAAGGCTGACCTCCCCTGTTGCTAAAGAACATAGTAACTTACACTTTACCGTTACAGCATATCAGGAATTAAGAATTTGTTTGTAATCTTGCTTCATTGTTTCAGGCGATCTCAGGTAATCCGCTGCAGGTTCCCGTTGGTACCAACGTATATGTGAAATCGTATGTCCAAGATGTTGCTTGGACTGTTAAAATGCGCCTCAGTTCCTGTTATACCACAACAACAACGACCAATCAGAATGGAATGCACTATTTTCTGATCAAAAACGGGTTTGTATTTTACCTGTTAAATTTAACTTGTATATAAATATACGTTATATTTATCGAGCTGTCCTGATTATTCTAAGAGAAACACAAAATATCAAATTTTCAGTTGCCGAGTAGGTAATAACTTCAGTCTTCCTACCATGTGAGGGAACTATCAAACTAGTATACAGAATGTCAATGTTTATACTTTGACTAATTAACGAATGAGACATCTCTCTGCGGAAAAGGTCAAGGTCACACATATGGATCAGGGGTCAATTAACAACAAAAACATTAATTTGCTATTATTAAGTTCTACATACAAGGATGAATTTTAATATAACTTAGCACAAATGTTCTCCATGTTGAGTTGAGTTGTCTCGAACAAAATGAAGCTCATCTTCACAAAAGGTCAAAGGTCTTATAAAAATATAAAAATTTTGTCCGGTCTATATCTTGCTCATTTTTTGAAAGATTACAAAATAATTTGGTACAAATGTTCACCATGATGGGATGATGTATCGTACGCAAAATCAGGTCCGCTGCTCAAAGGTCAAGGTGTCTGTGGCAAAGGAGAAGGTCACACTTAGGGGTAAAATGTCAAATAAAAAATAAAACATTCATTTGCGAGTGTAACTTCTCTATACATAAATGGATTTTAATATAACTTAAAATTAATGTTTTCCATGGTAAGTTGAGATGTCTTGAGCAAAATGAAGGTCAAGGTCACAAGAGGTCAAATAAAAATATCAAAATTTGTTTCTCCGTACTGTATCTTGCTTACGCTTTGAAGTATTATGCTTAGTGGTTAGAGGACTTTTGTCAAGCAATTTATCAAACCCAAGGCTGAAAGGATTACCCTGACTAATCCGTTCTGTTTGTATCAGTATACATCATTAGTCCAATCACACTCTTTGTGCAGGATATTAATTTATTTAAACAATACTTAATCAACGATTGTATACATATAAGAACATCATTAATTGACATCCATTTTCGCAAATGAAATAATGTCTTAAAAGATTTTACAAGAAAATTTCGACACCCGCAGTAGCGGAACAGTAGATTGACGAAATTGAACCGGCATGTTATATTACTAAACATGATCAGGTTTAAAAGATTATTCAATACTGCATTTTCCGTGCATATATTTAAGTATTATCACAATATAAAAATTAATACTGACAGTCACTAACAAACACTAACCTATACTTAAATGTTGATTTCAGTTGTGAGGTGGATGCAAACACACATCTGCTGTCACAAACAGATCACGAGACCAAGTTTGTATTCCAGTTATTTGAGATGACCGGTATCCATGGGGATATTTACATCAAATGTGACGCAGTGTTCTGTGATACGTCAGACATTACGTCATCTCAGCAGTGTGATACATCTTGCCGCATAGGCTAAAAAAACTGTAAAATCCCAATTTTCTATGGAACCATATGGAAATTAATTGTAACTTTGAATACATCTGACAATCAGAATTCGCATTAACTGTTCTCAATAGCGTTTATTTAACCATTTATTTAAACATTACAGACTGTTGCGTCTACACCGTGCATATCCAGTAACGCAGGAATGTGCAAATAACGTAAAATTTACGCCGTATCTGTACAACGCTATTCCAAAAATGAATAACACAGTAAGGAAACGAACCAAAATATTTCAATCTAAATCAAATTTAACGAATATTAGAAATGAATCAGCGCATACGGCTGCTACGACATTCTACTTTAACCAGCATTACATTATTTTTTTCAGGAATATGTTTACTTCTTTAGATCATTCGCGAGAAAGACAACCTGATTACCGTTTTGAAGGTGACAATAGAAGGAAGCTGGTAAAATAAAATTTACCTACATTTAATGAGATAACCGCCGTTGTTTCAGTGCTTCATTCACGAATTCGGCGTTACCTCGTAAAAATGGTATCAATTACGTTTAATCTGCTAAATTAAATGTAATATGACACGAATAGATTGGAAAATATTTTAGGTACAGCGCATTAAAAGATCGTAAAGTAATATGTACATGTACGTTATTGTATTTCAAGATATCAACGAAACTAAAAATCGGCATCAAGGTAATAATTTTCACGAATGATCTTGAAAAATAAACATTTTCATGAAAATATTTTTGATGAAGTTTAAAGTATCCGTATGCGGTAATTCATTTCTTCCAATTAGGTGTACAGTAAACAATATTGGTCCATTTACTTATCAAGGTGCCAAATTGCACAATTCTGCGTTACCTGCGTTATTTGCACATTTCTGCGTTACTGGATATACACGGTGTCCTGCGTCACTCCTAATGAGCTGTTTGATCCGTTTTTCTTTGTTTGTCTTTTTGTTTGTTTTGGGTTTTTTTGTCTTTTTTTTTAATTTGTATCAAAATGAGTAAAACGGTAACAAATTCAGGGTGGTGAGAGACCTTCAATGGGTCTTTTTAGGTCTGGCTCTTTATCTGTACGAAAATTGAACGAGAAGAGATCACCTTTTCACTTCTTATGTCTGAAATCAGCACGTGTTATCATGAACTGACCTTTATACAGATAAGAGAATCCAACATAAGTCTTGATTGGTAATTAGATTATTATCATTTAACATATAAAAACAAAATTTGTCAACAGAGCTAGTGATTTATTGAGATCTACGTACATTCTATCTCCGCTAAGTACTAATAAATGTATTGCATCCGTCACAAAAACTCGTGTCAATTCGGTATATTTCGTAAAACTCCGTGATTTCAAAGATCAATGAAGCATTTCTGTGAACATGAGCAAAATATATACAAAAAATGATAGTTTGTTGAATTTAAACGTATTTTAAAAATGGCGATGAGATATCTACGTAACATTACTAAATATCTAAAATCTGTCAAACAACAAGTCATATTGAATAAAGGAAATCTGTAATAAAGCAAAAGGCATTAGAAACTTTTTCGTAACAAAAACAAAACAGGATAAAAAATAAAATATTTCAGGTTTTTTATGGTAAATAGTTATGTGATGATTTTTAAGATCTAACAAAAATTTGTAAGAAAAGAGAAAACATGACGCTGTACAAGTTGTCATGACAGTGTTAGCTGTCAATCATTCGGCACGTGCGCTGTTTCTTGATAAGAAAGAACAATGAAATATGTCAAAGGTAGGAGTGAGAAAAAAAACTTTCAATGTTAACCATACAATTTGTTTTATAGAAGCATTATAAAAAATATCTTGTTCCCATCCTATCTGATTATCTTCATCAAACTCAAGAGTTTTGTGAATCTGACCACAGGATGTTAATCACGTGTATGGATATTGGTATATGACCAGTTTTTGCCATAATGATTAAAATTCCAATAAAAATTGAAAGGTCAGGTTGTAAGTTAAGGATCTCAGAACATTTAATAGTATAAATCACACTATATCTTACTATAAACTTATTTTCTATCACGTACAATATACGGGAATTTTTATTTCATGTATTATAAAATGAATACAATCTTACAAAAGACACTACTTTTCCTATTGACAAAAACTAGTCTAAAAACAACAATAGTAAATTACATAAATCTACTCTACAAAATAATGAAGATTGTGAAAGAACAGACAGAGAATTTAATAATATTTGTGAGGTTTTCGTAATCTTGGTTTATACATAGATTGTGACATGCCGCCAATCCCGCTGTTTCCCATGCTAGGGTAGCCCGAGTTGCCTGCCAGACCGCTTTTTCCCAAGCTAGGGTATCCCGAGTTGCCTGCCAGACCGCCTAGACCAGAATCTCCTCTCGGCTGGACAACACGGCGTATGATAGGACGTACTATACGGTTCACTATTGGTCTCACTATCCGGTTTATGATTGGTCGTCTTATTATAGGACGTACAACACGATTTATTACTGGACGGTAAATTGGACGAACAACACGGTTTATTACTGGACGCTTGATAATTGGTCGTACAACCTGAAAAATAATTTTGATTTTTGATAATCATATTTTACAATAATTAAACTAAAATAATGACGACTGATAAAAGTGATATCTATTTTCAAATAAAACACTGCCAGATAAAAGAATTAATTTGTATTTTACATTTTACATTACACGATTTCTTACATTAGTTATTTTAATTCCAACATTTAATATACTTGAAAATGAGAAGAAAATACAAACTCAAATAGGTACGCATGAAACTAAAGCTTTCTCATCAATAAATATACATACACGTTGAATAACTGGTCTGACAACTGGCCGTATTACTGGTCTAACGATTGGTCGGACCACAGTGGTAATATGTGAGCTATGTTTAGTGTAGCCTCGTTTCATCCCAACGACCCTGTCAGCCGAGCCTATTGCCCCAACTCTTGTCGGTCCTGCTATAGATGTGCCACCAACACCACCAACTGAACGGGGTGGTATGCTGGAGAATCCACGGAGTTTCTTACCAGGATAACCTCCACCAATACTGCCACCTCCGTTTGCAATATAACTACCGTAACCTGCGTTACCTCCTACCCCACCATCTATTCCTCCGATGCCACCATTGTTCATATATCCACCATCATTGTTCATTCCCACATATCCGCCCCCGTTATCTGTAAATCCACCCCCATTGTTCATATATCCGCCTCCGTTATCTGTAAATCCACCCCCATTATCCATATAACCGCCCCCGTTATCTGTAAATCCACCCCCATTTATCCATATATCCGCCCCCGTTATCTGTAAATCCACCTCCATTTTCAAATCCACCAACTCCTCCATTATTAGAAAACGTATCGTATCCACCGCCCATTCCACCGTCAAATCCTATTCCGTTATTCAGAACTCCACCCCCTTTAGAAAACCTGCCCCCTCCGCCATTGCTAATGAAACTACCCCCGTTGTCAAACCCGCCTCCGTTATTAACCACACCCCCTGTCCCACCGTTAAGGAATCCGTCTCCGCCATTTAATGCCATCCCATCGTTGACAATTCCCCCACTTCCACCATTCATAAAGCCAGCGTCATTATTTCCCAGACCATTGCCAATAAACCCGCCCCCAGATCCTCCTTTCACAAACCCGTTGTTTCCGTTCAGCATACTATTGAATTCACCACCATCACCTCCTAAGCCGGTCATTCCAAAATCTAAAATTTTAAGATGTAAGCAGAGACATCGATAACATTATCATAAATTATCTAAATATCTGATGTGAGGGCTATATTTCAAAGTGTATACTTTTATATAAAGAGATTGTCAGATTGTATTATAACCTTTTTAGCGAGACTAAACCTCAATGTACGAAAATTATTATTACATTTTGTACAGTCAACTGACTTTATAATAACTTTTGTACAAAAATCAATTACATAAACAATTAACAGTTCCAGTAAAAAACATGTTGTTCAATAAATAAGTTTAAATTTTGTTAGTGAATGCATTAATACAATGTTTTCATAATTTAACTACAATCATACCTTGACCAATATTTACAGGACCTCCTTTGATATAACCGGGATCCATTGGAACCGGTATTCCGCCAGTTCCTCCAATTCCAAAATCTGGGTCGACATTGTCGTGATTATGATTGTGTTCTACAAATATAGTTATCCAAGTTAACTGCAATAAACTTATTTTAGACAATCGCACAATCACCTGTCTTTTTGAAAATCGTGCTCATTTAGATTTTAACGTTTTCGGTGACAACATAATTACGGGGCATGTATAAACATAGCACCCGTGCATCAACAAATTTCTTTATAAGCAATATGTAATATAATAAAAATCGAAGCTTTTTCAGTATGATCAAGCTGCGAATTTGATAACTGTAGTGTTGTCATTTCCGCAAACTTCTATTGCACAAGGTAATCACTTTATTGTCCTTTATTTAATTGAATATAAACGTGCATATCTAAAGACTTCATTTAAAAAAGGGACAAACAAACATATCCTGTTTTAATAAAAGTAATACATGTTATAGGGTCCGCGATCTTGACGAACATACGGTAGACAGGGATACCGGGTATTATAACTTACTGTCTAACTGTAAGGATCCAGGAACGAAGACAAGCAGAACTGCTATCACTGACGAAAACATTTTCTGGAATGGATTAATAAACTTTATATATGTCAATTATTTCACAATGATTCATCCTTGGTAAAAGGAATATTTGTAATTTTAGCCGGATCGTGTCATTGAGCGAAATGTTTAAATAGGGAATTTCGTAGATAGTGCCCCATTTTTACGTTTACCTCCCTTGCCAAAAGTGGCAGCCATATTTGGAGTCAATATACTATATAATTACAAAATAAACAATATAAACAGCTGATTTATGTGGCTTGTCAAATTTCTTTTTTACAGATACAGAAAAGTTGCACCAATACCTACAAGATTTTTTATGAATTTTCCTAAAGGTGATAGAATTATGAACGATTGTTATCTTATCTTAAGCATATGAACTATTGGGAATGACCCCAAAAATGGCAGCCAGTGTTGATATTTATTGCTATGGTAAAACAGAGTATAGCTGAGACACTGCAGACCGCCTGTCAAACAGTTTACCAGGAAAATGCTATGACCTCATTACGTGACCTAGCAGAATTACAGTATTTATATAAAAGACCAGAGAAAGGATTTCATGATCAATAACAACAAATATGATCCGCACCGTCCGGGAATCGGACCCAGGTCGCCCGATTCACGGTCCAACGCTCTACAACGGCACATATTCGTCAATTTGCATTTATCAAATCCTTCACCACTTGCCTATTGCACACTTTTTGAAAGCTTTGGGGTGTTTCTTCCCTTAATTTTGCATCTGTGCAAAAATATGTAAAAAAATTTCAAATTAAATTTGATTTGTGTTTTCATAAATTGAATATTTGATTATGATAAATAATATTACATGTAGTTAGCTTATATAAAATCTGAAAAGCTTTTATTTTCGAAATTAAAAAAATGGAAAGTTTATCCTGTGTTTTGTATTATTATATCATAAACGATAAAAACATAAATTTTAAACAAATATTTATGAACATGTATGTATATAAAGAGTAAAATCAAAACATACCTGCCACTGTGGTGTCCGGGAAATGTATGCCTACCTAGTTCCTTTTGACCTTGTTCTTTAAATGGTCACCATGCATGATCGATGAACACGTGTTCTGACAGGGTCGCGCGCGCGCGTTAGCCTACACAGATGTACATGTAAGTAGTTCTTTATATTGTACATTGTTTTCCATTGTACAGTTGTTCTAGTTCTCGTCAATTTTTAACGTCAATATATTTGTTTGATAATGAATTAACTTACTACATAACAACAAGATACATGGATTGTAACTATATAAATCATGTCATCAAAGCTTGAAGTTTTGTGCCATGTCATTTAGATGTGCATGTACTTTTTTATTTAAGTGTAAAATAAGGCACATATAATAGACAAATGATAACCATTTTTATAGATTTGTAATAATTGCAAAACATTTTAGTTAAGCCTTAATTATTAAATAAAATCGTTCTAAATTGAATATTTGAAAGGTTGAAATTGCGTAACAATTTTGCATTTGAAACAGAATAAATTTTAAATTTGTTCGGCAAAAGGAAACAAACCGTACTATTCTTTTTAAAATCATTTCATATATTTTTTTATCTCTGATTAAAACCAACTGATGTTAGAGAAGTGGATGCTTTTTAATCTGTGTTTCAAGAATTCAAAAATCGAAGCGTTTGTGGCATAGCTTCGTTGTCTTTTTAGTTGTTTTTTTGTGTCGTTTTTGTTTTGTTTTTTTTTTCTTTGTGTATGTGTGTGTTTTTTATGATTAAAAAACGCCTTTCTTATAAAAAAAAACTTTCACCTTCGTTTCGGACAACAAAATCTGATGTAAGATTGATTTGGTTTTCTGTATAAAGATAATCACGTTCAGGAAAGGAAGCAATGCTGATCTATTTAATATCACTTTACTACAAATGTACAATACTGTCTTTTCCTCACATTTCTAGTGTTATAAAAGATACAGCGCCGTTTTTATATCAGAAAATGTTGTGTGCCTTCAATAAGAATAACTATAATATGCTGACCATTAGAAAATGATAAAGTTCCAAATGCTTTAAATTTACAGTTTACTTTTTAAAAATGATTGCTCATCCTTTTATTAAAACATAAATTAAAGTGTAATGGTGCCTTAAGATTTGGAATATTCTTTACTGCTGTGTATCTTACGATATAATATAAATTATTTTGCAGTTTGAATATTATGCGAATAGATGTAGTGCTATTTAACTTGCACCTGACTGAACCGGTCTCTTTCTTTTTTACTATGAGTTACTGTTGTAAATATGTTACAATGTTAATATATTTTATAGCGTGGACAGACTAATTAAGAACACGATAATGTTAAATATATAAATAGTGTATCTAACGACAACTATAATGATGTTTATCAGAGAAACACGGAGGTCAGTGTGCCACAGTTGTAGTTGTCATGTAAAATACCTACCGCTGTATGACATTCTATATAAACATGCACATATATGTACACTAGTAAGTTAAACATTGATAAAGCAATTAACTTAACAGAATATTTGCTATGGTTAGTAATTAGTAAATTACTCCGTATATGTTCCTTGACCAACGTTACTCAACATTAACCTTTACTGCGGAGTAACTCCGCGACGTGCGTGATTATGAACGTATTTACGTTACTACAAAGACAAAAGGCACGTAAAACTAGGGCGTGTCCTTGAAGGGCTTCGAAGGTATAGGTCGGTACTCGGCATCCTACAGGCAATCAAAGGGGATCATTTAGTATTGGTGTTATGCGAATTTCTGGTAATAAGTTTTCGTATTGTGAACGTTATGAACACTTCAGTTCATCTTATTGCCAGAAAACCCCGATTCCTGTCGTCTGTGCATAGTCTTCACTGTTCGATATTCAGCCATCAGTCAGTATGTAATAGTTACCGTACGAGGAATAGGTCTGCATAGTATTTACAGACCCGGGTGGCGATTTGAATCGAGGTTTTTAAAAGGCCACCGGGTCTGTAAATACTATGCAGACCTATTCCGAGTGCGGTAACTATCTTACCTACATGCTATTTTGTCTTTCTATCCATATATCAGTTTTTAACTCAGTATTTATTAATATTACTCACAAGAAACATATTATCTATGTACTTTATCATGTTTAAGAAAGCATTCCAAATCCAAGCAAAATACCATCCGCTACGCTCTTGTAATTCATTCGTTCACAAATAAGGTGTCATTTGAATATTCTCGTGATGTTCGTGGGGTTTCATTATGTAATAATGTCAGGTAATGTACTTGTTGACTTGAGTCACAGAAAATGAAATCAGAACTTACGAGCAGGGAAAGGTAAGATCATTATTTTGATATATGAATTCATAACATATTAATAATATTAACAAATTTTGAGAAAAAAAGTTTTCTTATCATAAAAAACACTGTATCTTTATATATAATAAATTTCATGGTAAATAGATGACCAGGTTATTTCTTATACATGGAATGGAAGCGCAAGTCGTATTCTTGCGAAGAACAAGCGAGTACTGGTATACAAAATTAAAATTGTTATTTAAAGATAACTGGGAAAAAATGAGAAAAACGATCTTATACTTAAGATGATCTGTACTCTCACTGAAAGAAAAATTTTGGGAAAAAAAGATGCAGAAGTTAACTTCGATATGCAGCTATAATATAATCGTCGTATATATCCCATAATTCAGAATTGTTAAATAATGCAGGATTGTGCAAAATCAGACATAGTTGTGGAAATAAATGCCGAAAACTAGTATCTAATGAAGCTATATAGTTCGGCAAATGTGTAAGGTATACCGAAAAGCAAACTATAAGAAAGGCTAAATTTGCATTGTTGTACTCATTAATATTGGCAAAACACATACCTCAACTCGTTTTTCTCACAAATAATCCGGAATATATGTTATGAGGGTCCTTACAGTCGTATGCGCTAATTCATTTCTATTAATCTTTAAAATATAAATCGACCCTTTTCCAACCCTTTTTCCTATTCAAAGTGGTCATTAACTCCCCTCCCCACAATTCAGCGTTATTTTACGGTTGATATTGTGTACTGTATTGCACGAGTTTCTCGACTTCACATATTTTGTATTGTATAGAGAACAATAGAACAAAAACAGGTCAGTATATATTTGCAGACCTGTTAAGCGGTCGGTAAGTGATTTACTAGACCGCTTTTAACAAAAGAGCCGGTAGGTAAATATTTTTAAATTGTCCCTATAAAAATGATGAACGCTATCAAGTGTTACCAGGGGAGACAATTACATTATCATTCCTCTGTGTATAAAGTCCTAGGTTACATCCCATAGAATTAATTACCGCTTGCACCATCAAGCATTGAAAATCTACCCAGTCTAGTTATATAACATTTAATGTATGCTGCATCCCTCTTAATATCAAAGTGGAAATTAAGAAAGTTAATTAGATTTTAATAAGTATCCACAAGCGATGCAACATTGTTCATACAATTGAAGGAACTATTAAAAGGAAGTGTTTCTATCCCATGATTATTGAGTATGGGCCTTTTTCATATTTTAATGCAACAAGAAATTCTCTGAACTCACTCTATTTGTACAATTAACAATTATTTGACTATCAAGACCCATTTTAAAATTTTCTTTATCATTCTAAAGCCGTGTCGCATAATTATATTATATATATTTTCTATATAAACTTGTATGTGTTTATATATGAACTTTGTAATATCTTGTTTTACACATGTTTTTGTAAACTAACAAAATTTATATTTTTAGCATAGCATATATACTAATACTGTAATTCAGTATAAATTAAAAGAATTTTATAAATATAAATTTCTTATCTGACCTCTAAAATCTCCATTGTCATCAGCAATGTAAGAAGAAGAAATATTTTTATTACATGCTTTTCGGTGGTTTATAGAAATATATCAGTGATATAAAACTGGTAATTTCACTGTTTGAAACAGTGAAATTACCACTTTGATAATTTCACTGTTTTGAATTTAAGCCCCTTACGTTGTTTCAGTGAAATACCAGCGTGCACAGTACTGGGTACCAACTTAATGACGTGACGTCGTAAATGACGTCACGTATTATTATTTTTTGGCGGGCTTTTCATTCAGTATAAGGTTAAATGTCTTTTTAAAACGTTTCTTTGCATGTAATAAAAAGAAAATTTGTTTAGTTTAGTGTAAGATTGAAATAGATTTCACCTTATGAACACCAAAAGTTCATATTTCACTCGTGGCTGCGCCACTCGTGAAATATTCCTTTTGGTGCTCACTCGGTGAAATATATTCCGATCTTACACTGAACTAAACAAATATCCTCTATATAACTACTAATGGTTGGTCTACTCCCTTTCAATTTATATTCAACCGGACAACATTTACCCCACTTTGTGCATTCAATTTATCCAAATGAATTTCAACTTCACTTCTACATTCAATTTATCCAATTTAAACTTCACTTCATGTCTAATCTGTTAACAAAGTTTAAAAGTGACATATTCAGAACCAAAACTTGTGTACATAAATGATTTTTCAGGGAAACAAAAAGAGAAAAACATGATTCAAGTTGGAGCAGAATTCGTTAGCTAAAACAAGTAATTACAATCCGCCCAGTGGCGACAAGAAATAAGTGTATAAATTATGAGAAATTAAGTTATTTCTGCACAAAAACAAAACAAAACAAAACAAAATTTACAAATAGTGATTTTAAAGTCTCCCAATTAGAATCGGACTGAAAAACAAGAATGAGTTGGGGGTTGGGGAAGCTCTATGAAAATGCTTGCTCGTAGGACATATAGTTTATGTAAACGTGACGATAATCCAAAGAAAAGCGACGTTTCAGGTGTACAGTATTATAAATAAACGTATTACATCGCCAACACAACTCGGTGTTTAAATTTTTGCAGTAATGTATAAATTGTGACTTGAGGAAGCTGGGAAGTCATCACATGATCATGGTGACAGTTTAGAGAACTATGACCTGTCCTATACCTCAAATATGTGTCACGTTAATATATCGTTGTCATTAGTTAGAAATTTCCCTCTTTTTGTTTACAAATAGCTTTAATTCTTTTATTCTAATTAAGTTTTAAAGGAGTAGATAACTTTATTAATATGATGTTGACTAATTATTTGTTTAAGGAAATGTGTCCTTATTACAAACTAGCTTATACTTAATGTCAATTGGAAGTTTCCTGTACTTAATGTAATTGACCGAGATGGAATGTTTTCATACTAACAAGGTTCTTGTGTTTACAGTAAAACCTGTCTATATGACATTTTTTGTATTAATTGGATATTGAAAGACCTGGTCAGTCTCGTGCCAGTCTCGTGTCAGTCTCGTGTGTCTGACTGGAGGAAGTATGACATCACATCTGTGATGTAACATTTCAAGGACGCGACATTTAAGGGAAATAGCATAATTATAGTGCCTAGCGATATGAAGCAAGGTAATGTCCTATGGTATTTCATAGACGTGACATATCATCGATGTGACATTTCATAGACGTGACATTTAAGTAATGTAAAATTTCATTGACTAGCAATATATGGCAAAGTAATGCACTAACATTACTATGACGAGACATATCAGCGACGTGACATTACAGTGACGTGACATTACAGTGGCGTAGGTATATGTTGAAAATGTGTTGTAATTGTTTCAGTGCACCTGATATCACAAGAAGAATAAACAAATAGTTTCGCCCTTATTAAAACAGAAGAAGTATTCACATTTACCAGGCTGATAGATGATTAAAGTGTACTGTTGATGAAAAACTGCAGTGGGAAACGTTAGCCTTTTTCACCACAACAAAAGTTCGTATATATTAATAGCTAGTGCAGTCAAGATATTCCTACGCCAAATTTTTCTATGCTTATCAGTGTAAGAAAACATCATTATTAAACAATTATAAGTATTTAAATAATTTTATGATTCATTTGTGCTACAGACAGTATCGATATATAAATAACCTCGATAAATGTCTCCTGTCATAATAATTACGATTTAAAAAAATTGTTATAACCGTGACCTGGATTGAGTTCAAGGATTACAGTACATAAACACTTACTTTCTTCAAGAACGAAATACTCTAGGTGCCAAATATTCTCTGATTGTTGAAGTGCTGCGAGCTGATTATAATAAAAGCTGTAAACTGGAATTGTGTCTTCTGTAAAAACTTTCATTTCATTTCAAGATTTAGGTAAGTTATTATTATATAAATATTTTTGTTTGTAATTTAAAAGTTTAAAAATATGTATAAAAAAAGTAAATGGTGGGATACTATTTATTTCTGAGAAATTAGATCTTACAGCTTGCGGGTGGAATGCCAGACTAGTTGCGTGCGTGGGAAAAACACGTGTTATTAATATCAAAATATATCTGTTGTTTATTATTTATGATGTAACACTTTGAATAAAACTACTTTTTGGCTATTTATGATGTTTTTATGGTAGGTTTTCACTAAGTGTTATATACAACGTCTATTCTATACATTTTATATCAATAATGTTTAACGAATATGAAATATGTATGTATGTGAATGTAAATGATATGCTAGAAACTTTCGAAATTTTCTTTGATGGGATTGACTGAAACGCATTTTACATAAATACATATATCTAATAAAGTTTACTTGCCGTCTCGTCATAGTCTTCAAACTTCAATATTCAGTCAGTTATTATACTGTAATTTTCCCTAAAATGATGGATGGTCTTGTCTTAAATTTAAAGTCGGACTAGTTCATTTAAGATATTGATCAGGGAAACGTTTTAAGATAAACACACACCCGATTGAAGTTTCACGGCCTTATAGTGTCCGTTTGAACTTTAGTGACGAACATTTTATTTTATTTTACGAGTTTTTAGCAATAAAGTTTATACTACAAAATGACCGATGTATTTAGTATAAAAATGGCAAAATTCCTCACAAATTAGGATTAACATTGTGTTTCCGTTAGTATTTGTTTACATATCTTTTTATGTAGGTTAGAAGGATTTTTTTTATAAATGAATTGTTGATTACTTTTTTTATATTATAATATAAAATCATGCATAAAGACCTGCCTTTAATAAAATAGATAGTTATAATTGTTCTTTATGATAGATTTGATTTTTTGTGCATTTACGGTTACAAAATGGGCTCTGTCACTATAAAAATCATCTTAAAGGGCTTACATATTAACTTTTGCAACAGTCTTTTAATATTTAATATCAGTAGAATTAGTGATTAAGTATTGTGTATGGAAGTTTACATTGTGCTACCTTCATGTACATGTACAACATATTGCTGTACATTCAACACTACTGTCTGCATCTATAATGCTCTAAATTCATTATCAAAATAGTATTTAACACATGTTTATCAAAAAATATCGATTTCTGATGCATAATGTGCCTTTAAATAAAATTATTAAATAGGTTTTCCAGTAAAAAACGGACACATTTCGGCCAATAGAAGAGTATGAAGATATAGCTGTTATCTGTTTTAGAAACATGATTTTGTTATATACTTTCAACAGTATTATTAACAACATAAAACATATAACGGAAAATTGTAGATAAATTCCTGCGTGTTTAAACTACGAACCTTTGTATATCATATATCAACTAATGGCTGTATATCAACTTATACAGGAGAACGAAGTTTGCTGGGAGGGAAACTGTTTACATTTGATTGTGATAGGTTATCGCAACCGGATATCTTTAGTCTAACAATGTCGCTCGAGTTCACGTGCAATTATAATCTCTGTATACTTTGATTGTGATAAAACAAGAGCAGAAAAGCGCCAATACATCAAGGCGTGCTCTTTTACTTTCATAGATATGATAGATAAGACTGACTAAATATAAGACGCATAACAGACTATAGTTGCAGGGGAAACCATTCCATTTATTTGTTACTTTAACTCAGTTTTAACTCAGTTTACTTGAACGTACGTTTTTTGTAAAAAAGGTAAAAAAATAAAAAATATAGCAGTAAGAAATGTTTTAAAACACATTTATTTTTCTTAAAAAACAAATACACTTTGCCATTCTTTTCTGTTATAAGTTTGAGGAAACTAAAGGAAAATGCTACCTCAATAAGTACTGTATAGTTCTCCATTATGACTAGAATTCATTAGACTATTTTTATTTATCTCATTTTATTAAATATAATATGTGTTTTATTTATTTCATTTCAGAGGATGAAGCTGATTCTTCTCATTTCACTATTGGCTGTAGTGTTGATGTGTCTGGGTCATGTAGACGCAGGTCGCCAACGTCTGTGTACTAAAAACGCTCATGGAAAGTGTGTGGACAACGTGTTCTGGGCAAGAGGAAGGGGAAATAATCAAGGGAGATTAATAGCGTGTTCGTTACTGACACCAAGCCGAAGATGTCAAAATGTGGGCAGACATTGCAGATGTAGACTGCCGAGAGCGGACACCTTTGCAGCGGAGGGAGAAGCCGGTCGTTATTGGGATTAAGGACATGAAATATAAACATAAAAGTGTGTTGTGTATATTGGTATAACTCATGGATATATCATTAACACTTATGATTGGACAGATCAGGACAAGGCATATTTTATAAAAAATCAAAATAGCATTTACTATCTACAAACTTGTTCTAAATTATTAATACATGTATTTAAGAACTGATAAAAAGAAACGTCATATTTTAAAAAATCATGTGTTGTTTAAACTGAACTTAACTTCAAGCTTACGTATTGTTTCGCTATTGACGTATGTAAATTACATGGCGGAGGATAGTTTGTATAATTATAATATATTTATCATTAAAACGTAGTTGCCCTTTTAAAAAGAAATTAAATTGATTGTAGTTTTATTTAGCCCCGAGTCTGTTTCATGTTTATGTCTGCTTTATGGCCAATTTGTTGACTATGATGACAAATGGACGATAATCTTACCTTGGGATGATCCTTATTATTATCTTGTTACTTGTACATTACATATATAATATCAGACACCAGTTACTTCATAAGATACCTACCACACATGTTTCTGGCGGAATTGGAACCCATGAAGGTGAGGGACAAGTATGTCAGACATCGTAATCACTGGGCTCGGAGACCCCTCTTACAGTATACAAATAATATATAAAATTAAATTGGGCATGGGGATGTCAGTTGTACATGTTGTTGTACTCTACTCTTTAACTAATCGTTGTTTTTATAATCTGTAAACATTATTTATCAACTAGAAAATATGTAATATAATATAAGATACTAGTAGTACATGCCTTCGTTTGTCCGTCCGTCAAAAAATTCATTTTGTTCCACATTTCTTCAAGTTGAACAGATCGGGGCATATTGTGAAGCTTTGAATTGTCAAATGAAATAATAATCACAATGAGGCGGGGTTACATGTTTTTTGTCTGCCTGTACGTAACCAAGTATAGGTTTACCTCATTGAGACGACAGCGAGATCAAGTAAAATACTAAAAGTTTAACGCAATCAATGCAATAATAGCTGTCATAGCTGAAGTTATTTTACATGCACAATGTATATTGGTATTTTTATTTCTCAAAGACGGTTAACGTTATTGTCCACTTCGATCGATGGGGCCGGGAATTTGTACATGATTCTTTAAAGTTGCACGCCTCCAGATGAGCCAAAATATTTCAAGAAAATCAATATTTAGAAAAATGTACTAAAATTTTAAGAAAGGTAAAAATATTGAAGATCCAAGTTATATTTTACATGTTATGTGCGGTTTAAGACTGATTTTGCAGTATTTAATCACCTTATTTTTACTGCGTTACTAACGCAGTGTGGGCTGTTTTTGCATAATATTTTATGTGGACCACTTTTTGGTATTTTGCTTGGATTGTAAGTGCCGATTGCATTATGTGAATTACTTTTTTTATTCACCTCGCAATATTTTACTTTTTAATACATTTCCAAAATTTTCATGAAAATTAACATGAATCTGGAGGCGTGCTGCTTTAAACAATTTAATTCCGATTCATTCATAATACAACCATATGTTTTGTATATATTGTGTGCTTTACTTGATATTTGTTTTGATAAATTCGGTCAAATCGGACAGTAACCTGTTTTATATAATTGTCAAACTTTAACATGTAGTAAACATCACTCTTAACACAGATATAAATCTGGTTACTAACGGAAAACAATTATAATGTTTGTATATATCATGTAGGCACATATTGTAAAATAACCCCTTCTCAACACTGTATGTCTAGAAAGACTACTTAATGCATTGTTTTGCCTCGACAATAAAAGTGTAACTAACTCATTGAATGTCTATGGATAACTTTAGCGTGGCATTTTGACTAGAATAATATTGCATGATTGCTACAAACAACAAGAAAGTCTATTTATATTCTATTTTTTTAATATTTATGATTTGTAACGGACAGAGAAACTGTCATCCCCGCAATTACTTTTGCAAGCATTTTCAAAGAGACCCATTCCTACATGTGAAGACTCTCTAATTTACAACGAACAAAGGTATTTCATTCTAATAAAATGGTGTTGTAAATAAACGCTCGGGTCGGAGCACGTGGATTTAGGAAATTTTTCCATGCGCATGGCATCATGGAAAGAAAACGGAAGTAGTTACCAAGTAAAGGTTTATAATGCAAACATATCTTTGTCGGTTTTGACTACTTTTCGAAACATATGACATTTTGGCAAAGGAAGTCACGTGTCACGCACTTGTTAGTTTAAACGAATGTACCCTTGAAAGCTATATGCTTAGTTAAACACTCTCTAATATGTTCCTGGAAAGTACTTTGCAATTTGCGAAGAGTTTCTTGCTCAAGGAAACAACGGCTTGCAACTGCTAGACTGACGGGGTTTACATTACTAATCCGACGTGTTAACCACTCAGCCACAATGTCACCTGTTCGCGGTGGAACCAATATTTCATTTTTTTTAATGCGCTTATATAAGGTCACCGCCGGAAAGCCCATATGGGCGACCGTACACTCAAGTCGGGCCATCCTAGAGCGTCCCGCCGAGATTTTTTCGTCGATTTTTTCCAGCTTTATTGATGGAGGAAGACCGCAGGTGCCCCTTCGGGCATTATTGCGGGCACCTGGGTAGAACCACCGACCTTCCGTAAGCCAGCTGGATGGCTTCTTCACATGAAAGATTTCGACCCAAGTGAGGATCGAACCTACAGCGGTGAGGGACCTGTGATCTCAAGTCAGCGACCTTAACCACTCGGCCACGGTGGCCCCTATAATATTTCATTTTTGTCGATGACGCACTTATATACGTTTTTAAATGGATATGGCGGAGTCTAAAGTTCGTCCATAATTGGTTTTATTATCTAATAGATTGGCAGAAATCAATATAAAATTTAGATAAACAGAATAGTTGTTGTATCTTGGACGTAAATATATTTCCTTGTATACAAAAAGTGTTTTGAATTTATTGTCAAAATACAAAATATATAAATCATGCATGTGCAAATAATCAAAAATACATATACACATATACAAAACAATATTAAAGTCATAATAGAGAGTTATTTAGTAAAAGCCATCTTTAGAGAACTTTTATTTTTAGCAAAGGAAGATTTCGAGTATAGATACGTATACATTGTAAATTGTAAATTTATAAAATACTATTTGTAGTTCAAATGACTTAACTTAATTATAACTGATTGAGTCTAATTTTAGTAACACAGTTGTTCTTATATCAAGACATAGTTATTTACTATGACGATAACGACACTATGTGCACGTTTGAGTAAAGTAATATCTAATTTGGAAAACAACAACAAAACACTTAAATTGTAAATCAACCAATATATAGCGATGATCTGGTATCTGTTCTGTATGATAATATTATAATACATGGTAATGTCTTACACACTGTCAAACATTTACATAATATCATATTAAATAGATCCAGTGACAAGAAAATCTTTAATTCGTCTATGAATATTTATGAAAATTACGAGAGCGGATAAATATCGCATCAATTCTAGATAGGATAGGAGAAAGTAGTCCGAGGCTTATACAATATCAGTTATTTGTATTCTTAAATCTGTTCGCAGAATAACATTGTGTAAGAAATTATAGACAAGGTTTTAGGTTGTGACATTCCGCTGTTATTCCTCACATTCGGATTTATCTATTTAAACAACAGGTATGTTATTGTGTTTTCCTATTCCTTTGTCTTTTTCGTTATCAGTTTATGAAATAACCATGCTTTTGGCTTATTGCAGACACGGTTTTTTTATTATTATTTCTGTTCCTTTATTTTTTGTACCATTAATATTGTTTGTAAAAATAAAAGATAATTGGCGCCTTTTCAGCTTTTACTTGGGTATGAGGACTTTAGATGCCCACCGTGCATTATTTCACCCGAGTAGAACCACTGACCTTGTAACGTATTTGTTTTCCTATTCGTAATTATTGCGTACAAATTGCACTAATTTTGGCACACGGCAAAAATGAGCAAGAAATATAGCTCAAAAGAATGAAAAGATAATCAGTTTGAAATACCCTGTCTATATTTTGTTGCAAGTGTAAAAATATGCAACATGCCAAAAATATCATAATTACAATAAGTCACTGGGATCTTATGAAATCTATAAATAATAACAAATTACTTGTGAAAAGTTGGCAAGATATAGCGGCTGATAAATTGCAAATCATAGTAATTTTGTATTAAAAATAATAACAAATTTATTTTTCAATAAAATGTTAATATTTTTAGATTATTAGAAAGGTCTTTGAACTCATATTTTACACATAAAATATAAATTTTCAAAATCTATTCCTATTTTCTTGGTAAAATATACTTGGCACTTTCCGTCACGCGTCGGAAGTTTAGTTTAGATTGAACATCACAAAATAAATTTATGCAAAAGAGGCACATTTGTTTTTTTATTCTTTACTTTTATTGTTTTCTTTAGTTATCTGTTGTTTTTTTTTTTTGTTGTTGTTTTTTTCATCATGAACTTACAGTGTTATTACTTGCTTATTTAATTATGATAACAGTTTTTGACAATATTGCTAAATAAGTTTGTTTCAAATATGATGTTTTATTGTGAATATACAGTAACTCAACATGTTGTTATATATGAACCATTTAACTGATATTTTCTTATATTTATGTTTCTATTTGGCGGAAAAACCTTTACTTGTGTTTGTTAAAATTTTATTGATTTAAAAGTTAAACTGTGCGTGGCGCCTTTATATGTCACACTTGCCGCTAAATGTATCACGAATGTCGCTAAATGTTGCAACAGCCGCTAAATATTGTAAAGTATTATATATGCAATGGTAATGTTAAATGTCGCACGATTGTCCCTTGCCAAGATGAATATTCATGATAAAATAAAGTTTAGTAAATATTTATACAAAATTCGTCACTTAGGGTCAAACTCTCATACTTTGCATTTTAACAAATTATTTCCTTGATGATAAACTTTATTGTAATTTAGCCATGAGGATATTATTTTAACAGTTCATGGGTCGGCGATTAAATATGCTTTTCATATAACATGGATGATTTCTCCGGGCATTATCTCCAGTCATTGATTCATTATACAATCATGCTTGTAAAACATCAAAGAACTTACCAACACTAAAATTATACTGCAGGAAAATGGCCTAATGGGGTACGAAAATATTGAGTACATAAGTGGTAGAAATTAAAACTTAATTGCTTTGACAATCATCATGTTTTTAGACCTTACTTATAATTTCAAAATGTAAATATATAATAGTATACTTCTTTGAAATATAGTAATTACTCATCTTGTATGCATGCTAGTTTTATTTTCCTAAAGCAGTTTTTCATAAAACTGTTTAAGCACTTGTTCAAAAATTATTTCTGCACGTGC